TGATTCACTTAAGATTAATATTACTAGCTTATTCAACTATTCAACTGGCCGGTGGCTTTGCTACCTGAAAAACTTAAGATATTTGTCCAAGGGGATCATAATGTCTATGGTTGAAAATCCAGGATTGAAACCAACAACCAAGAAACGGTGTCTATGATCTATCAGAATCTATCATGCTACCGTCCCCAAAACTAACATAGACCCTGAATCACTGAACATGGCTATGTTAAATAACCAGATGGTATATCCAGTTATGAAGAACATATTTCAAAGTACTCCATTCCCTCGATTCTATCAAATACCACCCAATTCATTCATAGATCCAATACTTCATCATGGCTTCATTTCAGGGTTGTGTTTCATATATCATATCATATCATATCATATTATATCATATCATATCATATCATAGCAGCAATATATATATATATATATATATATCCCTACTTGAGGATGGTTGAACGATGTTAAACCACCATTTTTGCTGGTTAAACCACCTCTGGGAACTTTGGTCTTTGACAGGTAAATCATCAATTTATCATCTATAAATGGGACATAGTCCATAACTACGTAAAAAAAATACTTTACTTCGTGTGATCCCCACCATGACATTTATACATTTTCTTACTGGCAAATCTTCTGGCATTCTATCTGACATATCTTCTGACATTCTATTTGGCATTCTATCTGGCATATCTGGCTATGATCTGGCATATCTTCCTTTGTTCTCTTTTTCTCTTTTTTTTTTTTTTGCATCTATCTGGCACAAATTATTGCTGGCCTTTTCTACTGCATATCTTCTGGGCACTCTAATCTGGACATACGAGTCTTATGGCATTCTATTGCATATCTTCTGGCTCTATTCGGTACAGATCTTCTGGCATCTATCTGACTATATCTTCTACGGCCATCCTATATTCTGACCTATCTTCGGGCATATTCCTCTAGAGAGCCATATCTTCTGGAATTCTTCTGGCATATCTTCTGATATCTATCTGGCATATCTTCTGGCATATGGCATTTCTGGCATTCTATCTGACATATCTTCTGGCATTCAATCTGGCATATCTTCTGGCATATATTCTGACATATCTTCTGGCATTCTATCTGACATATCTTCTGGCATATATTCTGACATATCTTCTGGCATATCTATCTGGCATATCTTCTGGCATATTTTCTGGCATTCTACCTGGCAAATCTTCTGGCACTCTATCTGACATTTTATCTTCCTACATGAGGTCCGGCAGGGAACACTTGGCATGGATACTCGCAGATGAGGTCCGGCAGGGAACACTGGGCGTGGCTGGTCGTGGTTGAGGTCCGGCAGGGAACACTGGGCGTGGCTGGTCGTGGTTGAGGTCCGGCAGGGAACACTGGGCGTGGGTGGTCGTGGTTGAGGTCCGGCAGAGAACACTGTGGATCGCGGGTCGCAGTTGAGCAAGGACGACGAGGACGACGAGGACGACGAGGACGACAAGGACGACAAGGATGACAAGGAGGACGAGGAGGACGAGGAGGAGAGGAGGAGGAGGACGAGGCAGGAGGCAGGAGGAGGCAGGAGGAGGCAGGAGGAGGCAACTGACATAAAATCTAACAACCCTCACCTGGCAGGTGGGGAAAAACGGCCTGGAAACCACCCATGTTTTCAAGGGATCCAGGTAAGATGTTTTCTGAGTACGTAACCTTCATCAAACAGCTCACCATGACGAGTGCTCCTTCTCACAGAGGGGTCGTTGACCTGTAGGACCCTCCAGCAGCTGTATCCACTGCCTCAAATGCAGCATTTTTTGTAGAGGAAACCATGTTTTTTTGATCTTTGAACATGGGAGTTTCCTGACAAGAGTCGACCAATTCTGGAAAGTAACATGTTCACTGGGGACAATTCTATATATATATATATTTATTATTATTATTATTATTATTATTATTATTATTATTATTATTATTATTATTATATATATATATATAATATATATATCATATATATCATATATATATCATATATATCATATATATATCATATATATCATATATATATATCATATATATCATATATATCATATATATCATATATATATATATCATATATATATAACATATATCATATATATATCATATATATCATATATATCATATATATATATACATTATGTGTATATCACATATATATATATTACGTGTATATCATATATATATATATTATGTGTATAATATATATATATATATTATGTGTATATCTTATATATATATTATGTGTATATCACATATATATATATATATATTATGTGTATATCATATATATATAATGTGTATATCACATATATATATATATATATTATGTGTATATCACATATATATATATATATATATTATGTGTATATATATATTATGTGTATATCACATATATATATATATATATATTATGTGTATATCATATATATATATTATGTGTATATCATATATATATATATTATGTGTATATCATATATATATATATATATATATCAAACGGCGTAAACAATTGGCAGTCTTATCACTTCCCAGCTATCCAAGCTACGGCACTGAAAACACCGACACCAGGCCTGGCGGCCTGACATATCAAGCCTTTTGAGAATTGAAGTTAAACAGCCACCATGGCAGACTTTGGCACCCATCAGCAATGGAATCTAGCTGTCAGTTTTGGAATGATGAACAGTTTACCCAACTTTCAGAGGGGAACAATCCGGCAAGACATTAATTCCTGGAAGTGGGACATGTACAGCATCCCATATCCCTTCCTAGTCTTTGGGTAAGTTGTTTTTCTCTCAAGGAGAGAACATGGACCTTTTCTTTGGATTGCATCCAGCATATTCCAAGATGTCTGAGCTTAGCAAGCCATAGAAAGGGTGTCAGCTATAGCAACTCTCAAGGTTGATGGAAAAGTTGCAAACCTGGATGGAGGACACATTAGGACACATTATCGTTTTTCACTGGTTTTCCACTTGAAAGGCCTCTTTTTTGGGATTACTATAGGCCAAGTGGAGAATGGGGTCAACAAAAACAAGGCCCACGATCCCGCACCGAGGGTCTCTTGCATGCGTTGTGCATCAACTTTGGCACGAATCAAGCTTTCCTGCCGGCATTTTTTTGGACAAAACCAGGACCCCATAATGAAATACATTGAAATACCAAAATGGACAGTCTTGAAGTGGGTATTTGATGGAATCTGGGTTGTAGATGGGCCATTGGCCCCCAAACCTACAGATGTTTACATAGTATGTAACATGTAGGAATGACAAACTGATTCTGTACCCAGTCTGCCGACATAAAAACAGAAGGTTTATGGATCAGAAACGTGGTAGTTGTTTCTGAAGACTATTCCATAGCTGGTCACTTTGGATGTTGATCCCGTGAAACGCTCAAAGATCTGAAAGGTTTTGTCTCATCTGCATATTCCGAATATGTCCGAATCATTCTCACCATCTTGGCATGATCAAAATGATCAGTTATAACATGTGTTTCACCAACCAGCCATGCGGCCCTCGGCCCCATAACTCTGACCTCTTCTTTGCCTTCGTCTGATCTCAGTCGACCAGGTCATTTATGAATGGATATCCCTGGAATATGGTCCGTTTTCACGTCAGATACAGTATGTATAGATATGTTAGATTAACCATGATTAACCAATACAAGAAGTGACCCATTCAAAATCGAACCAGCTTGTGCAAATGACCAGGATAAGGCCAGCTGGACCCTAAGGATTTCAAGGGGAACTACACATCTCCCGTGATGCTGGATGAGGTAAATCCATAATGCTTCTGTCGTTTTTCAGGGCAGATTGGAATCTGACACACCTATTTTTACCGCTGTTGTCCCCATTCAAATGACCAAAAAAGGGACCTTTGCAGATTCCAGTGACTCCACTTAGCCGTCTGTGATCCGAAATGTTTGGCAACTGACAGTAGCAAATTTCATTCCCAAAGCTCCCAGAGTTTTTCCAAGGAACTATAGGACCCTGGAATCTGTATTCAAATGATTTGTATTCAAATGACCTATAGGGACCCAAACCATTGGCAACTTCAAAGGATACCCCAGTGTTAATGGTGACATACAAAAAGACCCTGGTTTTCATGAATTTCCACCCACGAAAAATAACCAGGACATTCCATAAAGATCCCCTCAACCAATCCATTCAGAAACCATCAAAACTTATCCACTGCGTCCCCATTTGTATCCCATTATCTCAAAAAATGTCCTGTTGATATCAATCAATGTCCCACTACTATTGTTCAACAAATTCATCCAGAGGTATGTATATATATATATCCCAGGATTATCCCATTACTATTGTTAATATATATATATATATAACTATATAATATCCCGATATATTCCCACTGTAGCCCATTGTAGCCCCATGATATCCCCATTGAAAATCACTACCTACCATAAACCGGCAGCACCAGGGAACAGTAAGCTCTTCGCAGCATCCGATGTGGACTGAAGCCATTCTATTGTGCCTCAGCGGGGTAGATTTTGCTACCCCTGTTGGGCTGTTGGATAGGTATTCACTCCTAAAAATGAAAAGGACGTAGCGAAAAGATCTAGGACAACTGGGTGTGTGAAGATGTAACACATGTATTTTACTCAAACATGCGGAAAACACCGTGAAGTATATCCCAAGAACATGGTAGAGCTGGTATATATATATATACACTATTATTCGTATAGCAAACATAAAATAAGCTGCACTCGTAAATCTGATAATGAAGTAAAATGGACATGGGGGAAGCACGATCATCCCAGGTTGGTGGCTCCCATTGGCTTGAGAATTTGGGAAACCCATCATCAAATCCAAGATATGCATAGGATTGGTATATGTTAGCATTACCATTCGATACATCCCCACGAAATCCCCATAAAATTGTCTCATACCTACTCAAACCCCTATAGGCCCTATGTTTCTTGCTTAGATTCCTCGTTTTTCAAACAACTCCACCAATCTCATCATGATTCTGTTACGTATGATATTCCCATGTTTTTTCCTGTTCACTGGAAAACCCATGGTTTTTTTCCCATTTTTTTTCCTGCTTCCCCCGAGATGTTCCATGGCAAAATGCTAACCGCCAGACCGAGGCACTGGAGATGGCGGCACTGGGATGTTCGCAGCGCACCAGCTCCGCCCGCGCTTTCTCCGCGGCCGAGCTGATCTGGAGCAACGCTGGCACCTGGTAGGGGAAGTGACACTAAGTGGGAAGGAGGGCACAGGGGTTGGCCAAGAAAAGATGCATGTTTAATGGGTACTTAATGGTTTCCAAATGGTTTTCCATTGTTAGATTATATGGTTTAAATATGTTTAAATTCTATTAATATTCTCATGAAATACTATGATGGTGTTAGTATAGTGTTAGTAAAGCAATGTCATAAACCGCCCATATGGATTGATAGTTTACAATAGTTTATATCTAACTATGCTAAAATTGGGGATGGTTTGCGAACACACATTATAGGATATAATGGGATAAACGGTTTATTCAAGACATCCTCTGGCAACCAGCTACGTGGTTTGCCTGAAAAAAATCTCATCTATGGATGAGTTTCCCAGCGGCCCACCATGTTTGAGAATACATGACACAAATGTTATGGGTCGCATGTCGTTCTTTTTCCCGTTTGGTATGGGGAAAGGTGGGAAATCCATGGATGGAATCCAGAAAAATCATGGAAATCCAGGGAAAACACTGAGCTAACCATGGAAAAGGCTCCGCCAGTTTGTCACAGCTAACCCCTCACAACATATCTGGGTGAGTTGACCACTTGGGGGATCAGTATCCCAAATGTGGTTGAACATTAACACAACAAGTACTCGAAACCGGCACCATCTCCGAAGATCATCATTTCCTTCAAACGTCGTTTTAATGTTTGTTTTAAATGAATTGGTTGAAGTGGAAATCTCAACCTATCCGTTGTCCCTTTTTCAAACATTGGATAACCAATCCATCATGGATCTTCAATTGGATCAACCATGGATTTTCCCACGAAATATGGAGGTTTAAGGTGTCAATGTTCCAGGCCCTCGCCTTCGCTTGGGAAGCCGCCGACATGTCCAGCTCTTCGTCAGCCATGCTGTGCAACTGATGGTCTTCACCAGGGAAAGGATCGTTGAAATATGTTAAACACATTAAAATACTCATTATACAAAATATATCATCCTGAAGTAAAAGTAGATGGAATATATGGGCATGTCAAGAGGACATTACTAACATTGAAAAAAGAAACCATGATTTTGTCATAGTCTATCTACTCCAGAATGACTATGTTCCTGCATAATACCCTGTGGATCCATGTCCTTCTGCCTCTGCACTTGGATCCATAGGGCCATAGGGATTTAAAAGAAAACGAGTAATTAGCTGGGATTGGGAAATGTTGATCAACATTTCATCAAATCATAACTGCAACAAAATGACCTGTTTCTTCGTTTTTTTGCTTCCGATGTAAAGCTAGGATCGGAAACCGAAACTTCCACGACCGTGGTAAAGGGACCGTGGGGTTCAGAAATCTCCACCATCCCACTGGATGATCCTAAGTCCATCAAAAAATCTTGGAACATCCTGGAACAACATCCATTGGGACGTGTCACAAATCCCTTAAAAAATCCCCCAGGATCCTCCAGTAAGTCCAATGACAAATTCTTGGAACATCCAATCCGAAGCCATGCTCGACTTTTTTTTCTGGCACCAGTCAGCTCAGGCGGCCTGGGAAGCAAGCTCTCTGGCGCCCGTGTGCGCAGGACATTCCAAAGAGGCCCTACAGGTAATTCGACAGTTTGCTATGGGCAATGGTCTATTTATATATAATTGAATGATTTTGGATGGTTTTTAGCTATGTTAAATTACCAGAGGGTAAGAATCATTGCATTCTTTAAACAACAATCTCTTTGTATCCATCACCGAACAACTTGCCTCTAACCGCTCCCCTGGGCGGCCCTATGATGATCGAAAGACTTTGGAACCTTAATTTATGTCCCATGGTTTCTCATTGCTTTCAACATAAATTTGGTCAAATTGGCGTTGCCCACCAGTACACCAATGATAAACTAATATGGCTACGGAAAATAGGCCATTTATAGATGCCTTACATTGATTTACATATAAAACATGGTGATGTTCCATAACTATATTAGCTTACCAGAGAGTAGCCACCATTTTAAAACTCATGCGACATCAAAAACACATCAGGATCGTTCCATGCAGTGAGCGTTTGAGGCGTTGTTGACCTTTGAAAGAGCACATCTCAAAGGCCAAAAATGTTGAATTCGAAGGGAAAACATGACTCTCCGAAGCAACCATGATTAATTTTGGATAAATTTGACAACTTTGAAGTTCCCCCATCTTTATCAACACTCAACAGATTGTTTTTCCAGATCCATGTCTTTCCTATTCAAAAATGGTGGTTTTGGCTGGTTAAGATGTTCAAATATATGTGGGAAAAACAACACCATGAAAGTAGATCATGTTCCTAGAAAAATCATGTGTTTTCCACATGTTTTGTATGTTTACCTTGGGGTAACAAATGGTAACAGGTTAGGTTTGTACAGTTCCCGCTCCCCATCCCAGATTTTTTTGGAGAAAGCCCCGGCAAGGATGACCAAGTCACGCGCGGAGGCACGATGATGGACATGAGTCTCAAAACGCCTCGCAGTGGAAAATATTGCGTTTCTGGTGGCTACGGCTGAATGATGAGTAAGTCTGAGTAAGTGATTAGCAAATGGTGTGAAAATGCTTTGTGAAATTGGGCTGTAAATGACAAGTAATACTAAATGACTAGGAAGTGGTTGGTACATTGTTCGCAAACTTTGTTTAAAATGCGCAGAACTAAATGGTTAAGTGGCTAGTAAGCGGTCAGTAGGGGATGATTGCTGATTTGAGGAAATGTACGTATAGCAAATGGAGAGTGTAATCACCTGTAAGTGGGATACATTGAGAGTGTGGGTGCTCAGAACTGGTATTGAGCCCACACACGATTTCTATAAATACGAATTTGTCTAGTTGGTGGTTTCAATCCCTCTGAAAAATATGAAGGTCAGATTGGATCATCATCCCAGCTATTGGGGAAAATAAAATTCATGTTTGAAACCACCAACCAGGCATTCCATGATAATAAAAAAAACCAAGTCCAAATCCGAAAATCAACCAATTTGGGGCGCGTCCCCTCTACGAATTATCTAAGGTTGACTATAGTCAGGTTGGTCAGAAGATGCACCAATGATGTCTCAAAATCAAGGACATTTCATGTAATCATTGGGACATCATTGGGATTTATCATTGTCATCATGGGACATAATCAAGGATGTGATTTATCATTTCCCAATGATGTCTTAATCATGGAATCTATTGTCATGTCTGAAATGCTAAATCACTGGATTTTTTTCAGATTCCAAGTGTTGACGCAACGAGTCCTTCGGCCTATTGTTAAATACCACGCTAGAAACACTACTACTTTTCCGTACTGGATCTATATATTTTTTGGGTTCGCCTTTTGGGTTCCACCATTCAAAGCGACATTTTTGGCCACCCCAAATCCAAACATATCTCAACCATCTGAGGTTTCCTAAAATGGGGGTACCCCATTTCAATCATCCCAAACTAGACCATTTAAGATCATGTTTAACCATTTTAGTTTTGAAACCCCTGGTGACTTGGAGAAATCCCCATTTTCAGAAACCCTAAACATATTCTTAACCATGTTGGGATGTTTTGGGGATCCCCCATTTAAGGGTAACCGCCAAATATCTTAACCTGCTTGGTGGTTGAGCCCTACCCCTCTGAAAAATGATGGAGTTCGTCAGTTGGGATTATGACATTCCCAATATATGGAAAGTCATGTTCAAGCCATGTTCCAGTCACCACCAACCAGAAAAAAATTGGTTTTCCCCATGAAAACGATCTACAAGTAGTGGATTTTCCACAGCTATGTTAGTTTGCTGGAGGATATCCTCTGGTAAATTAACAGTTGGACCCTGGAAATCACCCATTTTTAGAGGTTTCACAAATCATCCAACCCCAACAACTACCAGGGTCTATGTTAATTTACTGGAGGGTATCTTATAACAACTTAACGACTTAGATAGCTATTGAAAATGGTGATTTTAATGGTTCAACAATGGGTTAACAATGGTGAATATTGGGATTTTAATGGGTAATCCACCATTTCTTCCCCCACCTTGCCGCGCCCTCGCAACCGCCTGCGCGAACCATCTCCTCGTCGCCGGAAATCTGCAGGTTGATCCACCTCGGCGAGCAAGTGATCTGAGGTACTCACCATGGGTCATGAAAAAAGTACCGAAACCATTACATGATTAATTGTAACTATCAGTATATAACTATTCATTAACTATCAGTAACATTCAGTAACCATTAATGGTTAACCATAGTTGCTATTGGTTACTGACCATTAATGATAGTTACTCACAGCAAAGTGCGTGCGGCAGCACTTGCATACTTTTCATACAAATGGCTTGAGGTGCGCACCTGCGGATTCGGCGCACAGCTGGGTGAAAAATGATGTCTCTGCAAAATGATCATGGATTCTTCTGCTCTGAATGCCTTGAAACTGACACTGATGAATTTTTCTTTTCATGATCATTTGCGGACAACTGGATGAATGGCTTGGCAATCCATCCAAAGAAAATTGATCGAAGGGCTTTGGAGCATTTGGTCAATCCATCAGCCCACTGCACAGTCGTCGGCACCCAGTGAATCGTCTTCGGGTTGATATACTCCTGGATGCTGCGAATGTCCACGTAGGTTCGCTTCTCAGTCGTGCGTGGGTTTTCAGCTGCAACAGCATCATACAAGCTCTTGCAGTCTGTGACTTGCAGCTGGTGCAATCGCCAGCCAGTTGGGTCCTTGTGGGCCTTCACGCCGCTAAGAAGTTCACTCAGCATGGTGTTGGCGTAAAAGGTCCTGTCAACGCAGACGTCGCAGGCAATAGCTTCCGCTGCCAAAGTGGATCGACATACTCTCGCGCTTCGATTGCTTTTCCGGTCAATGAGGTTGCCCTTGGTCACCACTTCAGTGCAGTGAGGGGTGGTGATCAAGACAAGTGATCCTTGCTGACTGGCGCATTGGGCTGATCGGCATAGCCCACCAAAGTGGTGGCATTGTTGATAGCCACATCTTGGAACACCAGGCCGTGTTCCGGTGTGAGCTTGCAAAACTCCAAAGTTTCGTAGAGTTGTGCCAGCTCTGCAGGTCCGGTCTCTTTGCCACGGCTTGAGAGTGAGACCCAAGCGGCAATGTCAGGCCGGGTCTGGCTCGTAAGCCATTGCAGCGATCCGGTCACGGATCTAAACTCGGTCTCCTCAGCTGTGGTGAGAGGTGGACCTTGGGCGATTCTGCCCTTTTGGACTTTGCCCTTCTCGGTGTTGTTGATGAACTTGGTTTGGGTGACATGCAAGTGGAGCTTGTCATCCTTGGTTTTCTTCAAGGTGAGCTCCTTGCCTTTGAACTCCAGGGGCTGCTCCAGGCTGAGCTGCTTCTGTGATCCCCATGTGAAGAGATCAAAGAGTTCTGACTTGTTGTATGTCTCCCGGCAGGTCAGCAAAAAGTCGTCGACGTAGACGATGCAAACTGAGAACAGTTCGCCTGCTTCAATCTTGTAGAAGAGGAGGTGGTCCAAGCTATGCTGCAAATAGTTGATTGATTTCATTCTGCGGACTACCTCAAGAAACCAGGTTCGTGGGGCATTTGCAAGTCCATATATATTTGATTTGACCTTGTAGAGCTTTGACATGAAAGTCTTGGCCATCAAGGTGATTTGATCCCTAGGTGGAAGCAGGTACAAGGGCTCGGTCCTTTCGTTTTCATCGAAGGCTCCTTGCAGAAACGCTGTGGAAACGTCTCCAGCCCAAAGTATCCATTTCACCAAGGAATTCTGCATGAGTTGGCTGGCTCCTGCGATGAAAATAGAAAGCAAGAGATATTCTGAGGTTCTCGATGGAGTTGGAGAGTCTCTTGCAACCTTGTACAAATCAGGGTCAAGGTGACCCAAAGCCACAACCCGAGTTTTGGCTATCAGCTTGGTTGGGTCACGGCTCTTGTTGCGATAGCATGCCCTGCTGCGAAGCACGCGTCGCTTCTTCTGTGGGTCAGCCAAGATTGCGTTGGCCTCATCGTCAGGAACTGGTTCTATAGAACCCCATTTCTGCCAGCCTGTCTCTTCCTTCTGGTTTGACTTCACGTAGTCGTTGATTTGGTCTGGTGGAAGTCGAAGTATGGAGCGCCATGGCACTTCTCGCTCCAAGGCTTTGGCTTCCTTTCTGGACTGAAGCCTCTTGAGCGGATCCATTTTCTGATCTTCAGGATCGCTCGACTCGGCATCAGACTCTGACTGTTGGCCGGTCAGATCAGTGAGAAGAACAGCATGTCCTTCTTGTTGCAGGGCTGGCAGTGCGCACTGGGCAAAGTGCATGCATTCCATGTTGTCTATGGCGATGGTTTCTGGTGATCCATCCCATGATCATGGTGGTGGTTCTATGTGGTTGTGGTTGTGTGCTAACATCGCTTCATATGGTCGCTTCTGTGGAAACTGTGGCAATGTTGGTGTTTCTGGCTCCAGTGGTGCTGGTTCATCGGTGAGGTCGATTGTTTCCAGTGGAACCGGTGGTTCTGCTATGTTTGTGACAGCTTGTTGTGTGGTGTCGGTAATGTTGTGTTGTGATGTGCTTGATGTAGGATGTTGTGTTGTAGTCTGTGTGACTGCGGGTTGTGAGGATGCTGGTTGCGTCAGTGGCGGTTGTATGCCTGTTGGTTGTTCATCATCCAGTGGTGATGTCGCTGAAAAAGCTGGTGTGTCTGAGTCACTGTTGTGGTATAGTGACGATTCAGGTGGGAAGTATTGTTGTTGTTGTGTTGAGCGTGGCAATGGAGGTGGCTCATATATTTCATCTTGTGGTTGTTGATCGAGTGGAAGTTGTAGTGGTAAATCAGGTTGCCGTTGCTCTGAAGAAGGTTGTTGTTGCACCGTTGAGGTGCCTTGTTCCAATGGTAGTTGATCTTGGAGTTGTGGCAATGAAGAAGGTTCTGCATGTGTAGTCTGCTGTGGCTGTGCTGCAGCTGTTGGTGGATTGCTTGTGTCTGTTGATTTGGCTCTGATCCTTCTGTTTGTTGGTGTGCGAGACCTTGCTGGTCTTGTGAGTCCAAATCGTTGTGGATGGTAGTCAAACGGTGTGACTGGTTGTGCTGTTGGCGATGCTGGATATGAATGTAGGTGAATGTTGCTTGTGTGTAGTTGTGTCGTGTCTTGTCGTTGTTGGTTGATCTGCTGGTGGACGTGTAGCTGTTGTGTTGAATGCCGTGGTGTGGTTTGTGTTCTGACATTGTGGCTTCTGCTTCGGTGTCGTGGTGTTGCTGGTGCTGAAGTGCTTTGTCGTGGCTGCTTTGGCGTCGAAGGTGGTGCAAGTGGGTAGACCACTGCATCAGGCTCGGTGGCAGGTTGCTCCAAGGCATAGTCATATTGGT